TTCCAAATAGATGATTACTACTTGTGTTGGATGATTGATTATGTTTTTGATCTTTAAGATTCAGTTCCTCCTGCAACATTTCAGTTAAGTGTTACATTAAGCAATAAGCAACCAAACTTGACATTCTACCCTAATTAACGTAAACAGTACATTACAAGTTCAAGTTTACCTTATAATAGGCTTTAAGCACTGCACATCAATTGACTTCCTTGAAATGTGACTGACAATGTTCATCATCAAGTCCGAAATGTCTGCCGTACATTTTTTGCTGCTTGTTGGGATTGGTTCCTTTTATCTGCAAGAAAACGAACAAATCCAATAAGATCAAATCCATGAAACTTAAAAGGAAACAACAGTATTTAAAGAAGAGGCATTGCTCTTTGAGACTAGTAAATTCCAAGATACTGTGGGGGAATATCACAGTCACAGAGGTGATAAAATAAGTTACATTTGATGGATTCATACAACACTATGAATAAAAGAGAAAACAATAGCAGCAATAACAAGAAATAGTGATTAACAACCCACCATTCCGGGAAGTATATACACATTAAAACATTGGTATCCTGTCAAGTAGTGAAAACCTTGAAGCAGAAACAGTATTGGAAAAGCTGTTAAAATATCATTGTCTCTACAAAGGAAAAACCAGAATTTTCACTCAAAATAAGGTTACTATAAGAAAGGCTTCTGAAAAATGGCTTCTTTTTTTTCCAGTTTAAAAACAATTCATGGAACTATGCTCTAATTGACCAAGGTACATGAATATTCAAGTATTATACAATACTCCAATAAAAACACTATGCAGCTTAATCATAGTAATACTCTTTTTAATAGCAAATGAAAGTGTAGAAATGGGATCATAGGAGATCAGGAGACCACGGGTGGTGTAAAATTATTGAAAATAAGTGCTCTCAATCCAGAGACACTCTGGTCCATTACTGTTACATGCACAGAAAGTGATCCCTATAATTCCACCCCAGTTCCCTGTTTAAACCCTCTGCCATGAGACATTATGACGGAGATGACAGACAGAAATGTCTCTCTTTCATGAAGCACACCATTAACTAACACAACATCAAGTGTTGTCCCATGTCCTTCAATTACCTTGACCTCCAAAACCGTACACTGACATGCAGATCCAACAATAAGAATTCTCAGATTCATAATATGCAAAGCATTCAATTAACCTACCATCAGGTGAAAAGAAAACAAACCTGGAAGAACTAACTAAGGAAACGTAGTAGGATCAACAAACCGACAAAAAATAATTGTAAAAAGAAATGGCTGAAAGCTGAATGCTTTTTACCCTCAGAAGCCTCATGTTAAATTCTTTTCTGACGTCTCTTCTCTGTTTTTTCAATGCTTTCATGATGGGTGCATTGCAGCAAGTTTCCCATCTAAAGAGCCTGTCCACTGCAAAACTAAAAGGCAACAAAATACACTAGTAAACACCAATCAGAGAAAAGAAAAGCAACGCCTACTGCAAAAATGAGACTAGAAATTCAACTTACCCTGTTCAATGCAATAATAAATTTCTTCTGCCTCTTTCTCAAGAAGTCCAGTGATTGTATTGTTTGTGGTTTCAAACCGTCCATAATGTCAACAACCAAAATTGCAACATCACATAGCCCTGAACCCCGTGACCTTTGGTTAGAAAAAGATTCATGACCAGGGGTAATAGAACTTCTAATACAATCTAGTAACTTTGTTTTACCAATGTCAACATAGCCCATAATGCAGCAGATTGGCGAGCGAAGGTTTTCTTCAACCAGTTTAGAGGTTGCTTTTATCTTTTTCTTTTTCTGCAGCACCCAGCCTAACAATGAAAATACGGTAATAGAACTATCCTTTTTTTTTTTTTTTTTTTCTCTGAGAACATATAATGTGGAATATTAAACTGTAGTCTGCGTATATTAATGAAGATAATAGTGGAATATGCTGTGCAATCTTTTGTCTAACAATCTGGACAGTTTCGAATGTTAAATTATTATAGTTGTTTAGACTTCATCTGCTAACAACCTTACTTTTTTAGAATTATAGTTATTTTTATATGTCGATGATTGAATTTTATACTTATCCTGAACTACTAACCACTTGACTCAGACTGCATGCCTAAATTAGTGGGGGCGACGGTATTCTTTCTTCATCAATCATCGCCTTAATCACCCATCTTCTATATTTCATTAATCTCTCCCTTATATATAAAAACTTCCCTCTTAACATAGTCTCAAGACTAGAGGTATATAAAGTTTACAAGGAAAGGTAATCAGAAATTTACAACCTTGTGTTGGCTTTGTTATGGCGTCACCCGGAGAACATTCAACTTGACCAAGTCAAGGTTGTTCACTATTGTGCTGCTGTGAGTATTATTTCATATACCCACTTTCATTTGACATGAAAAGATTGTATCATAATCTAAATTCTAACGGTTTGATTATAAATTTACAGGGGTCTAAGCCATGGAGGTATACTGGAAAAGAAGAGAACATGGACAGGGAAGATATAAAGATGCTAGTGAAGAACTGGTGGGATATATACGAGGATGAATCACTTGACTACAAGAACACTGCAGCAACTGCGCCTGAAGCAGAGCCAGTGACCTTGGAACAATTAATGGCAGCGTTATCGGAGGCTGGTGTTGTCCACTATATCACCGCCCCATCCGCCGCTTAGTGGTTGCGGATTCTCAATGAAGAATGAAGATCCATGTTTTTTTTTTTTTAATGGATCCATGTTTCTTGTGTATAGGAGTATATTTTTTTTTTTTTCCTTTTTTTAATTGGTTAAGTTGTGGTGGTCTTCCTTTCGTGGGAGAAGGAGAACCTCCATTTTAAGATTGTTACTTCAGGAGGAAGAGGATTTTTGTACTTCCTCCTTTTCTTAATGTTGGTTATATTAAATTAATATCAGCAAAAAAATTTATTGTACATGAACTTGTCGCTTAACCCAATGGAAATTACTTCCAAGTAGATGATACTACTTGTGTTGGATGATTGATTAAGTTTTTGATCTTTAAGACTCAGTTCTTCCTGCAACATTTCAGTTAAGTGTTACATTAAGCAATAAGCAACCAAGCTTGACATTCTACCCTAATTAACGTAAACAGTACATTACAAGTTCTAAGTTTACCTTATAATAGGCTTTAAGCACTGCACATCAATTGACTTCCTTGAAATGTGACTGACAAGTTCATCATCAAGTCCGAAATGTCTGCCGTACATTTTTCGCTGCTTGTTGGGACTGGTTCCTTTTATCTGCAAGAAAACGAACAAATCCAATAAGATCAAATCCATGAAACTTAAGAGGAAACAACAGTATTTAATGAAGAGGCATTACTCTTTGAGACTGTTGGAATATGAACACTTTTGGGTAATTGATGAAGAAAATGCAATAAAAAAGGAAAGGCAAGTAAGAAGAAAAGGCAAACAAGAAAAAATGAATTTAAGTTTTAGGTAAATTTCTAGTTTAAGAATTTGTAATTGAAGAATATTTGTTTTCCATTTACTTTGAGTTTTACTAGGAACGAATAATTGATTTATGGCTTTATTTAAGTTAATATAGGAGAATGATTTAAATTAGAAGAGTTCTATTAGAAATATGAATATGAATCCTAGTAGAATAAGAATATCTTATTTTACCTATAAATAAGGGAGTTTGAACCAATTCAAGATAATAAGAGAGAAATAAGAGTAAAAGAAAATGTGAGGATATAAGAGGTTTTGATGTAAAGATACTACGGGTATCGAGTAAATACCAAAGGAAACATTTTTTGCTGCTTGTCGGGATTGGTTCCTTTCATCTGCAAGAAAACGATCAAATCCATGAAACTTAAAAGGAAACAACAGTATGGAATATCACAGTCACAGAGGTGATAAAATAAGTTACATTTGATGGATTCATATAACACTATGAATGAAAGAGAAAACAATAGCAGCAATAACAAGAAATAGAGATTAACAACCCACCATTCCGGGAAGTATATACACATTAAAACAAATAACAAATAACGTTAGCAAATCAGCAATGCAGTTAGAACTCATGCGGGTACATGAATATGCAAGTGTTATACAATACTCCAATAAAAACACTCTGCAGCTTAATCATATTAATACTCTTTTTAATAGCAAATGAAAGTGTAGAAATGGGATCATAGGAGATCAGGAGACCACGGGTGGTGTAAAATTATTGAAAATAAGTGCTCTCAATCCAGAGACACTCTGGTCCATTACCATTACTGTTACATGCGCAGAAAGTGATCCCTACAATTCCACCTCAGTTCCCTGTTTAAACCCTCTGCCATGAGAAATTATGACGGAGATGACAGACAGAAATGTCTCTCTTTCATGAACCATTAACTAACACAACATCAAGTGTTGTCCCATGTCCTTCAATTACCTTGACCTCCAAAACCGTACACTGACATGCAGATCCAACAATAAGAATTCTCAGATTCACAATATGCAAAGAATTCAATTAACCTACTATCAGGTGAAAAGAAAACAATCCTGGAAGAACTAACTAAGGAAACGTAGTAGGATCAACAAACTGACAAAAAATAATTGTAAAAAGAAATGGCTGAAAGCTGCATGCTTTTTACCCTCATAAGCCTCATGTTAAATTCTTTTCTGACGTCTCTTCTCTGTTTTTTCAATGCTTTCATGATCGGTGCATTGCAGCAAGTTTCCCATCTAAAGGCGACAAAATACACTAGTATACACCAATCAGAGAAAAGAAAAGCAACGCCTACTGCAAAAATGAGACTAGAAATTCAACTTACCCTGTTCAATGCAATAATAAATTTCGTCTGCCTCTTTCTCAAGAAGTCCAGTGACTGTATTGTTTGTGGTTTCAAACCGTCCATAATGTCAACAACCAAAATTGCAACATCACATAGCCCTAAACCCCGTGACCTTTGGTTAGAAAAAGATTCATGACCAGGGGTAATAGAACTTCTAATACAATCTAGTAACTTTGTTTTACCAATGTCAACATAGCCCATAATGCAGCAGATTGGCGAGCGAAGGTTTTCTTCAACCAGTTTAGAGGTTGCTTTATCTTTTTCTTTTTCTGCAGCACCTTGCCTAACAATGAAAATACGGTAATAGAACTATCCTTTTTTTATTCTCTGAGAACACATAATGTGGAATATTAAACTGTAGTCTGCGTATATTAATGAAGATAATCGTGGAATATGCTGTGCAATCTTTTGTCTAACAATCTGGACAGTTTCGAATGTTAAATTATTATAGTTGTTTAGACTTCATCTGCTAACAACCTTACTTTTTTAGAATTATAGTTATTTTTATATGTCGATGATTGAATTTTATACTTATCCTGAACTACCAACCACTTTGACTGAGACTGCATGCCTAAATTAGTGGGGGCGACGGTATTCTTTCTTCATCAATCATCGCCTTAATCACCCATCTTCTATATTTCATTAATCTCTCCCTTATATATAAACAGTTCCCTCTTAACATAGTCTCAAGACTAGAGGTATATAAAGTTTACAAGGAAAGGTAATCAGAACAAAGTCTCCCAAACTAGGAAGGAAATATAAACATATCTAAGCTGTATAAGAAATTAAAAAGGATACAATCACACAAAATAAGCTCATACCAATTAGAGAAGGTTGGATGCATATCAACAAGATTACGTTAGAGATCTCTAACAAGGTAAACTAGTATAAATTTTCTTATATTTTCATTTATCTGGAGAAAAATGGGTTTGTGTAGTGTTGTTGTAGCCTCTGCTTGTGTTATTTTGGTGGCATTTGTTATCGTCACTCCCTCAGTTGGTGTCACCCAATCTGTCATTTCTTCCATTTGTAGCCAAACTCAGAACCAAGAAATTTGTGAGAGCATATTACTGAGTGACAATCGTACAAACTCTGCAGACCTCCCTCTGCTGTCACTTATATCAATCGAGCTAGCCATGAAACAAGTTGACAAGAACTATCAAGCTTTCTGTCAATTTCATGACAACACTACTGATCCGGGATTGAAGATTTCTTTTGAAAATTGTGTAAGAATTTACCAAAATATGAAAGACATTATCCGAAAAGATTACAAGCTGTCACAACAGAAACAGTATAAGAGCATTTGTGATTTGGGAAAGTTGACAACATTGGCTTACGATTGCGAGAATGGCCTCCCTTCAAACTCACCAACTGCTGCTATCACTGAAGATATGCTCCTTCATGCACAAACTGTAGCCTATACCAACTCATTTGTTGCCGGCTCTTAGTGGCTTTTTTTTTTTTTTTTCCTAATTAGTCTTTGTTAATTTTGTTCATAAAGTAATATATATCATCGATAAAAATATACATTCATGATGATGCTTTGTGAAACTAGGAATTGAGTTTTCTGGTTCAGTCTTCTGAGAAGAGACTTTATAGAAACATCTCTGAATTGCATCATTCTTGAGGCCTGCTGGTTACGGGATGTGCAGTGGTAAACTACTTGCTAATCGATGACATTAAGCAGCCAGATTAACCATAACCATCAACCAATATATTATTGAGAAATTACAGTAATAATAAACATCTAACTAGGGAGATAAAGTAAATTGCGGTTGGCAGCTAAAGTTTCTAGTCAATGAAGAGGAGACATGTGGCCAACAAGTGGCAAGCTGACAAGATTAACATAAACCATCTCAGCAACATTTGTCACATTCTGCTCAAGGAAAATGAAATTAATGAAACACACACAAGAGTATTACATTTACAACATTAAGTATAATAAACTCCATTTCTTAGTCCAGCAGTAAGGATGAATCAAGGCGGCTGTAAATGGTCTAACCCATAATCCTAGGTTTGATTTCCTATTGGGTGCAAAGTTAGTACCTTTGTCCATGATTTACCTAGATAGCTGCGGTGGTGGGTTTTGTCCATGATTTACCTAGGGGGCCACGTTGGTGGGTTGCTGTGGGATAACTCCTCTTGATGATTTCTCGAGGTGAGCGTAAGTTGACAGAAAAAAAAAAAAAAAAATCTGTTGAGTTACAATACTTGTCTAGACTATCTAGCTTGCAATTTTTTATTCCCAACCAGGATCTTTTGCTTGATAATGACATGTTGTTCAAAAAGTTATCAAACTTTACAATAATAATAGGTGCTCCAAAAATTAGCGACACAGAGTTGTTTTTGCATATTAGAAGAAACTACTTATGGAAATTGATGCTCTCATCAAATGAGGTTATGATTTCATGATAGGTCGATTGCCTTAAGGATTTTGTAATTGAAAAAAATAGAATATCTATGTATCATTGGTTTGGAAAATATTTTTCATTAACTTGTAGATTGAGGGTTTAATGAGTTGGAAGGTTTAACTGTGGCTGATCAGAATGTAACATATCTCCTAAATACATTGGAAAGGGAATCAAACTTAACATTCCAAAACTTAAGAGGAACTACAAATCTAGGACCATCCCAACTTGTTTGAATATGTAATGGTGAACCTCTAGTCTAGCCCTTCAATAAACTGAAATCTCTTATTGCGGGTTGTAGCAATAGGTTGTCAAACATTTTTCCAAGTCATTTGTTACAAAGGTTTCAAAATCTAGAAAATTTTAGAGTATTTTATTGTAAATCAGTGGTATATATATGTTCGACCGTGAAGAGCATAAGGTTGCAAATGGAGAAACAAAGTTACTCTGGTCATTGAAGGATGTGGTCTACCAGAGATAACAGATATATGGAATGGTCACACTCAATCGATAAACATCTACAACTTGAAGGGAATACGTTTTGTTGTTTTGCCGAAACTTAATTAAGCTGTTTTCTCCGGCTTTATTGCAAAGTCTTATTAGTTTGGAAAAAATAGAGATAAAGTATTGCAAGAATTTAGAGAAAACCTTCATTTTCGAGACGAAAGAAGAAGAGGACTATGATGTAAAACGTCTAACGGATGAATTCATGGAGTAGACTGAACGTCAAAAGTCTATACGTAAAGCCCAAAGGTCCTAAATGAGCATGTCCCTTTTGAAACAATGATAACTTTTGATCCGGGAAGAGTTACCGGGCTTGTAAGATACTGTTGGAAAGCTTATTTCGAGCTTGTCGATGTGGAAATTGCATTAGTCGGTTAGAGGTGGTTTTCAAGGTCAAAATCCACTATTTTGGCATGTTTCGGTGTTGTTTTAATTGTCTACACGTTTTTTCCTATTTTATTTCAAGTTTTCTTGTTTTAATTAATTTAGTTTTTGTTTCTTTTTGTTATTAGGAGTCTTATTAGAGTTGGTTGTCATCCTATATAAACTTATATGTTCTTCAATGAATTATTTAGACTTATTTTAGATTTTAAGACTTAAGTTTCTGTGATTGAGACTTATTATCAGTTTTAAAGATGTAACTGAGTGCTAGCCTTGTTTTATCACGTTAACTCGCTGCGTCAAAATATGAGGAAAATGGTATAGTAGTACCACTGAGGAAAGATCACACCACAGCCTCCCTAAGTTTGGGAAACTTGACTTCTATAGAAATATGGGAATGCTCTAAATTGAAAAATCTCTTCACCCAGTTCATAGTAAAAGCTTGGTGAAGCTTTATAAGATTTGATATAGGTGGATGCTGAACACTACATGAAATAATCACAAATGAAGCATCAGCAATACAAAGGATTTTGTTTCCTAGCTAGTTTGTCCTCCTTGTACCTTGGAAATCTAGATAACATTGCTTGTTTTAGCCCAAGCTCATATTCTGTTGAATTCTCAGCTTTGGAGTCACTTCGGATTTGTAGATGTTGAAATATGAAGATCTCTGGCTATGGAGAACAACTGACACCAAAGTTCAACAAATTTGTGATAAATGATTATAATGAAAGACAATGGATGGGTAACCTTAACTCCACAGTGCAACAATTGTTCATAGAAAAGGTATGTGAATTGATTAATTGTTCATAGTTAACAATTGAAAATAGTTTTACTATTTAAAAAAAAAAAAATGAAACTTTAAGTGCAAAATATTACCTTTTCTTTTATCAATGGATGATTGATGCATAATCTCGAAAATTTCAGAGGAAAACATAGCATTGATCAAAAAATATTTGTTTAGACTATGTAAATCTGAATTGGTCAAAACTTTGAAATTGTGTTTCAATCTTTGAAAATCATTTGGTATGATAATACATAGTGTCTTCTTAAATTATGTTTGGTTGCACAAATACTTAATAGGTTATATCATTTTTAGTTGCTCAGATACATAAATTATCTAAAAATGTGATTTGTTTTGCTAGAGAAAAGATGGCAACAGTTAGTCAACGATCTATCTTTTAGTTTCTCAGATACATAAGTTATACAACCGTTTGTTTGAATCATAAGAAGACAGTGGTGATGATAATGACGATGAAGAAGAAGAAGAGGTCACAAGAAGTCTTGTTATTAGTCTATTCTTTTATTTGATGGTTTAAATATTAATGCATAATTTATAGGGACTATAAACAGAGATTAGGAGGATAAGTTGTTAGAGTTCTTAGTATAACAGATGGGAAACTTAGCAAATCTTTTCTTTGATTAAATTTTCATTTGTTTATATTTTTCTATACATGAATGCCTACAATAACCTAATATCCATGAGAAGAGAAATGTTTTAAATAGCTTCAATATAAAGAAATCAAACCTCAATTGCATGCAAGAAATGGAAAAGAATTAGAAGCAAGATGCAGAGAAGGCAGAAGGATTACCTGAAAAATACTTCCAACTCAGACTTGATTCTGCAATACCTACTGGTATGAATCATGTTCACCAATATTTATTGAAATTTTTTATGATTAAAATAAAAATAACCTTAAAAAAGGTTAATTTTTAATTATTATTGCCAACTGGAGATTGTTAATATTGTTTTAGAGAGGAAGGAGAAAGTATAACTAGCAAAGCGCAAAAGGAGATGATGTTTAATTTCTTGACTCTTGATGATATAGCTCTAAAGCTTATTTAATTTGTATTTAACAGAGAAAGTTGGTGCATATGCATATGGATTTGATGTTTCAAGAAATACAGGAAAACGAGTTGTAATGAAGTTATGAAGTGGGTCAGTTTCCTCAGGAGGGTGTATTTTGATAGTTTTATTTGCTATCAAAAATTCATTTTTAACGTCTCTACTCTGTTTTTTCGTTGCTTTCTTGATCGGCGCGTTGCAGCAAGTTTCCCATCTAAAATTACAAGGCGACACAAATACATAATAAATTTAACTTAGCATAATAAATTTTTGTCTGCTTCTTTCTCAACAAGTCCGGTGATTGTATTGTTTGTGGTTTCAAATCAAACCATCCACAATGTCAACAACCAAAATTGCAATATCACATAGCCCTTAACCCCGTGACCTGAGGTTAGAAAAAGATTCATGACCAGAGAATAGACGCATCAGCTCTCAATTCCTTAGTTCTCTCTGTTAGAATTAGAAGCAATACAAGTGGTAATCATCTACTTGAAAGTAATTATCCATTGGGTTAAGCGACGAGTTCATGTACAATAAATTGTTTTGCTGATATTAATTTAATATAACCAACATTAAGAAAAGGAGGAAGAACAAAAATCCTCTTCCTCCTGAAGTAACAATCTTAAAATGGAGGTTCTCCTTCTCCCACGAAAGGAAGACCACCACTACTTTACCAATTAAAAAAAGGGAAAAAGAAAAAATTATACTCCTATACACAAGAAACATGAATCCATTAAAAAAAAAAACATGGATCTTCATTCTTCATTGAGAATCCGCAACCACTAAGCGGCGGATGGGGCGGTGATATAGTGGACAACACCAGCCTCCGATAACGCTGCCATTAATTGTTCCAAGGTCACTGGCTCTGCTTCAGGCGCAGTTGCTGCAGTGTTCTTGTAGTCAAGTGATTCATCATCGAATATATCCCACCATTTCTTCACTAGCATCTTTATATCTTCCCTGTCCATGTTCTCTTCTTTTCCAGTATACCTCCATGGCTTAGACCCCTGTAAATTTATAATCAAACCGTTAGAATTTAGATTATGATACAATCTTTTCATGTCAAATGAAAGTGGGTATATGAAATAATACTCACAGCAGCACAATAGTGAACAACTTTGACTTGGTCAAGTTGAATGTTCTCCGGGTGACGCCATAACAAAGCCAACACAAGGTTGTAAATCGGAGGAATAGGCTTGTAAATATCCTTGAAGTACATGTTCAAGAAGTCCTACGAATCGAGAAAACATAACATTATTTAAACATTCAAACTTAAATTAATGATGTATTAAAAATACAAATCTAAATCTAAAATATTACCTGCTCAGCAAAGGGGGTGGGAGGGGTAATTTCGAGGGTTTTCAAGAGATCTTCGTAAGTAGACAAGCTGGGCTCATAAACAAACATGCCAGCATTGAAATAGAGTGGAGGTTTAGGACCCAACTCCGCTGGCCAGTTCACCTTGTCAGGACACTGTTGGCAATAACCAATCTTGTATTGAGGAGTGTGACTCCATGTTTTCTCACAGAAACAGTCCATCACAGCGTAGAAATAACCATCAGCCATGTCAAAGAGATGATCTATGTTCTCAAATACTTGGATGTCACCATCCAGATATATCATCTTGCTGTACTCAACAAACTGCAAATTAAATTACCCACCAGTCAAACACTAGTGATAAAAAACGCAAACAATAGTTTTACGAGAAAGACATGACATGCAATTATATTACAATACGTACCTCCCAAATACGAAGCTTGGAGTAGTTGATGACATAATACGCCATGGCGAACTGAGTCTGATTCTGAGGAGGATACACAGGCTCGATCTCTCTCACAATACAACCTTGATCCACCAGAATCTTCCTGTGCTCTTCAGGAACGTCCGGCAAAATCGCAACGACAAGAGGGTAACTGCTCTTCACCTTCCTCAACCCTTTGGCCAACCCCACCACTCCCTTCCAATAGTCCCCGTTACCTGCCAAGAACGTCACATATGCACGGCTTGACAGGCTTGGAGCCTTTGAGAGAGAGGTGGTCTTGGTCACAGCGGTGGTGGTGGTGATATTAGGGGCCATTTTGAAATTCAAGAAAGGAAATGTGTGTAATTAGAGGATGAGAAAATAAGTGTTTGGATGGAAAGAAAAAGCTCTGAAAGATCGAAAGTCTTTTAAGGTTTTGGCGTTCGCTTTGAGTTATTGAAGCAAAGGGTGACGGGTGGTAGATTTATATAGGAGTTTGAGTGGGTGTAATGGTAATTTAATGAAATACGGATTTATCCTTGTGTTGGAACTAGGAAGGGGGAAGAATTCGGTGGAAGACGACGTCATTTTGATATGGTTTTTTAACGTTAAACGTTGTCGTTCTAGAGACTTGAATTAGTTGTTAGTGTGGTTGACTGCTGGTACTTAATATTGAATATGTGAATCTTCTCCTATAGAAATCGGACTCTACGTGTGGCATTAATATGATCTAACGGTTAAGGAGAGAATTCTGGATTTTGGACGGTGCAGGAAAGAGGAAAATATAATTATTTTAATGTAGCATAGAATATCCTGATTCTGGAAGCTACACAATCTTCAAAATACAGAAAAACCCTTCTCTCTTCTATAAACTACAACTTTGTTTAATATAACAGGTGTTATTTTACACAAGTACAGGGTTATTTTTGGACCGCTCAAAGAGAATAAAACCTGAAAAGAAAAAGTGTGAATAAATAATTAATTAACATACACCGACGGAACCCACCCCAGGCCACACCCGCTGGCCCTACAAATTTTAACATACGCGGTTTCACAACACGTACTTATAAAAAGAGAGGGCACGTGGGAGTAGGTCGATGGGGCTTCCACTTTTCACCATGCATTTGGGTTCCTAGGAAGAATTAGTTAAGTTAGTTGAGCATGTGAATCGCCAATTTGGTTGAAAATGTTTGACAAACCCAATATAATAATAATTTATTCTTTAATTCATAATTTACAATTTTAAATTTTCATTTTACTCTTTTAAGCTTAGTTAATTTATGAATTTATCTCAAATGCATATTATGAAACATTATTCTAATCAAGCAACCAATTTCTGAATTTTGGTTAATGAAGTGACAATAAAACCCCTTGAAAAACATTTTTGATAATATATAGTTTATTAACAGATTGATTGGCATGAATTTTGATAATGGTGTCAACGATATATCTCAATAAACGTATCTTTTCACATATGCTTTTGGCAGCATCGTGAACCATTAAAAGTGTTGATTTTAACAATGGTAATAGAATTTCAAGTTTGTTTCTTATTGCTTATGTAACACTTAACAGAAATGTTAAGACTGAGTCTGATAGAGTGGAATTGGTTCGGCAGCTAAGAAAAATTTCGAGATACATAGAGTATATATTAATGAATGGTCGTATATCAATCGGTAAATTTTGTTTTAAAAGATACAGAATTATTGTGTTGGTCCTTACAAGTTTGGTTCACACAATTTTTTGTGATTTTTTAAATCTCTTTCGTGTCTTAAATTATCTGTTTTCTTTCTGTTTTAAGGTTTTTTTTTTTTATTGTTATTTTGGGATTGATAATAAGGAAGGGACTTTAAAATATATAACTATGCTAGAAAACATTGGCTTACGATTGCGAGAATGGCCCCCTTCAAACTCACCAACTGCTGCTATCACTAAGACATGCTCCTCCATGCTCAAACTGCAGCATTACCAAACTCATTTGTTCAGCTCTTAGTACTTATTTTTTTTTAATTGGTTTCTGTTAATTTTGTTCATCGATAAAAATATACATTCCTGATGATGCTTTGTCAAACTAGGAATTGAGTTTGCTGATTTAGTGTTGAATTTGTTCTGAGAGAGAACTTTATAGAAACATCAGTGATTGCATGATTCTGAGGCCTGGTTACAGAATGCGCAGTGGTAAACTTGTACCAAAACCATAACTATCAACCAATATATTATTGAAAATTGCAGTAATAATAGACATCTAATTAGGGAGATAAAGTAAATTGCAGTTGGCAGCTAAAGTTTATAGTCGATGAAGAGGAGACATGTGGCCACAAGTGGCAAGCTGTCAAAATTAACATGAACCATCTCATTAACAGTTGTCACTTCGGCTCAAGGAAAATGAAATTAATGAAACACAGAAGAATATTATATTTACAAAATTGAGTCTAATAACTCCATTTCTTACCCGTACATGGTTAGTCCAGCGACAAAGGCGAACTCAGGGGGCTGTAAATGATCCAACCCACAGTCCCAGGCTTGATTTTCTGATTGATGCAAGGTAGTATATTTGACCATGGTTTACTGAGGGGCCCAGTGGTGAGTTGTTATGGGATAGTTCCACCCTGAAGATTTGTTGAGGTGCATGTAAACTGGCAACACAAAAAAAAAAAACTCTATTTGTACTGATTCTAATATTAGGAGATACTCACCCTTTTAGCCAATAAAATCAACTGAGGCTATTATATTTGACCAACTGTAAAAAGCTAACACAATAGCACATGTTGTAATCCCCGCTCTTTGTAAGTTAGAGAAGCATATATTTTTGAAAAGTTTTAAGCTTTGGTCTTTTGAAGGAATAGAGTATTGGAAAAGCAATGTCGAGCTTGCTGAGTTACAATACTTGTCTAGACACTAGCTTGCAAATTTTTATCCCAAACCAGGATCTTATGCCTAATAATGACATGTGTTTCAAAAAGTTGTCAAGCTTTACAATAATAATAGGTGCTCCAAAAATTAGTGACAGAAAGTTGTTTTTACAGATCAGAAGAAAATATCATAGAAATTGATGCTCTCATCTAATGAGGTTTATGATTTCATTATTATTGATTGCCTTAAGACTTTTTGTAATTTAAAAAATAGAATATATATTTATCATCGGTTTGAAAAATATTTATGAACTTGAAATAGAGTTCAATGAGCTGAAAGTATAACTGTACTGATCAGAAGTAACATATCTCCTAAATAAATTGAAATGGAATAAAACTTAACATTCCAAAACTTGAGGAACTACAAATTTGGGACCATCCCAACTTGATTGAAATATGTCATGGTGACCCTCCAATCCAGTCCTTCAATAAACCAAATCTCTTACTATAGGTTGTAGCAACAGGTTGCCAAACATTTTTCCAACATTTTTATAGAGGTTTCAAATCTAAAATTTTAGAGTATTTTATTGTAAATCAGTGGCATATATGCTCGATTGTGAAGAGCTTAAGGTTGCAAAGGGAGAACCAAGCTGCTCGTCATTGAAGGATCTACATTTGTGTGGTCTGCTAGAGATTACGCACATATGGAATGGTCACACTCCAATCGATAAACCTCTACAACTTGAACGGAATACGATTGTTGTTTTGCCGAAACTTAATTAGCTATCTCTCTAGCTTTATAGCAAAGTCTTATTAGTTTGGAAAAAACAGAGATAAAGTATTGCAAGAATTTAGAAGAGATCTTCATCTTCGAGAACGAAAGAAGAGAGGAATATGAGGAAAAGGTTATAGTAGTACCAAAGAGAAAGATCACACCACAAACTCCCCAAGTTTGGGATATTGACTTTTATAGAAGTATGGGAACGCTTTAAATTGAAAAACCTCTTCACCCCCGTTCATAGCCAAAACCTTGGTGAACTTAGAAGACTTGAATAGGTAGATGCTCACACCTACATAATAATCACAAATGATCGAAGCATCACAGTACAGAGGATTTTGTATCCTAGTTTGTCCTCCTTGTACCTTGGAAATTTAGATAACTTGCTTGTTTTAGCTCAGACTCATATTCTGTTGAATTCCCAGCTTTGGAGTCACTTCGATTTTTGATGTCAAATATGAAGATCTTTGGTTATGGAGAACAATTGACACCAAAGCTCAAGAAATTAAGTTGTGGTAAATGATTATAATGAAAAACAATGGATGGGTAACCTTAACTCTATAGTGCAACAATTGTTCATAGAAAAGGTATATGAATTGATTAATTGTTCATATTAACAATTGAAATAGTTTTACTATTTGGAAAAAAAAAAAAATGAAACTGTAGTGCAAATATTACTTTTTCTTTTGAGTTAATGACATGTTTTGTTCCCCCCCCAAAAATGGCCCATCGAACATTTTCCCCACCCTCAAACTTTTAAAACACCCTTTTACTACCCTGAATCAGGTTATCCTCTTATTTGGGTGGGAAACAAAGTGATTTACTAAACAACCCCTCTCTTCTTTCTTCTCTTCTCAGGCTCTTCCATTGCTGGCAATTGTTGCTCGCTTGGGGAGTGTTGGCGACCATAAAATCAAAAAACAACATTCCTCAATTGTATCTCAACCCCAACACAAAAATAGTACAAATCAAACCCAATTGATCCAATAAAAACGCAAAAAACCTTAAGGTGGGGAGCTTCAATTGTTTGCGTTGGTGAGCAACAGGATTAGGAATGTTGGTTTTGGAGAGGAAGATCTAGGGAGTCGATTGGTGGTAGCAGGGATGATTTCTCACATCGAAAACGACTAGAAATCGGCTTGGAAGTTGAAAGGTCGCATAGTTCAGGTCGGCGATCGGCATGCCAAGACGATGATGAGGTAAGGGTTTTGTAGAGTGGATTGTGGGGAGTGTGATAGTGTGTCTGGTGGAATTTCTAGCAATGAAATCGATCGAAAATCCGACTTAAAGATCGATCGTGCGAATGGAGGTGGTGGTGGGAATGTGTGATTGATGATGGCAAATGGAGGCTTGGCTTTGTAGAGGAGGTGTGGGATTCTATGGGTGGTGTCGGAAGTGATTTTGAATGCTGGGATCGGCTAATAAATGGCAAAAACCCACTAGCTTTGACGCTACTAACCATGCCATCTCTTGCTAATGTGCGCTGTTCTTCTTCAGCAACCATTGTTTGGTGACCATTCTGCCCTCATTAATAATGACTTTCACACCATTTTGCCCTTCCTACAACCAAATTACTAATAAAATTATTTTTTGGGTACTGAAATGGTATTTAAAATGTGAGTGGGTGTGGATTTGTCAATGGGCTATTTTTTGGGTGGGAACATGTCGTTGACTCTTTTTTTATCAATAGATATTTGATGCATAATTTGGAAAATTCAGAGAAAACAAAGCATTGATCGGAAAATTTGTTTTTAGACTATGTAAATTTGAATTGGTCAAAACTTGAAATTGTGTCTTAATCTTTGAAAATCATTTG